TCATGTTGAGAAGGCTTACATTATATAGCTAAGGTAAGGCAGTAGAGGCGGTGACGTGAGGAAGAAGAATTCTATTGCTTTGGCAAGTATTGCTATGGTAGGAGATCTTCTATATCTATCTCCATATTATCTTCCTTCCTGCTCCTATTCATCCGGAGAAAAACATTAGTTGGACCTGGACCTGGACCTGGAGTACCAAGGTGAGGAGGATCAAGAGGAGGGGCACCCAAGGGCTGCCATTTGCGGCACCCAAGGGCTCCCTTGTCCTCCTCCTCCTCCTTCGGACGTTGGCTTTTGGTGATGTCCTCTTGTTGTCAACCTCGATGGGTCGACAATGAACGCTTCTTTGGGCTTTCTCGATTTATTTAAATTGGGCTTGACCCAGTAAAATCCGAGCTCATCAATACTTACCTACATCCATGTGCTTCATATGTTCAAACAAACTAGCTAAAATCACCTTGAGCATAACTTTCAAATATTTGTAGATGTGAAAACAATATATTAGAATTATGATCATCTCTCAACTTAATGTATGCTAACTTTAGCCAATTGGATTGCCATTTATTTCTTTTTTCCTTTCCTTTTTGTCCAATTTATTGCCATATGAACTTGACTAATTCATTTTCTTTTCTTTCTTCAGGCTGATTTCTCCTCACAAACGAGTAGTTTTCTTTTCTTTTCTTCTTTCGTTCCTTCCCTTGCTTTGATAGCTTCATCAATGAATGGTTGAACTGTAATTCTTTTTCCTAATCAAGGAATACTTTCCTATATTACAAAATTTTAGGAGAAAAAAAATATGATTTAGATATTTGGGTAAATTACACTTACACCCCTAATACTTTCCAGATGGTGGTGGTGTGTGTGCTATGTGGTTGTGGAGATGAAAAATGGAGATGGAGGTAGTGGGGTTACTCTGTTGCTAGATAGGGGGGGGCGGTGTTCTATGTATGCGTGTGGAGAGAGAGAGAGAGAGGGGGGGGGAGGAGGAGGAGGAGGAAGAGGAGAAAGTGGTGGTGGTGGTGGTTTCCATGGTGTGGAGGCAGCAATGGGGGCAGTTAACTGTGGTGGTGGTAATGCCGGATTTGGAGCAAATCTAATTGATAAATGGAATTTACATTAATATGTTGTATAATAAACAAAAAAAATTTAGTATTTAACTTATTAATTTGATAAATTATGAAATATAAAATAAAGAAATGATAAATGAGAGATGAAATAAATTCTGGAGTTAGAAGAATTAATATTTGAATTTTTAAACTTAATTTTGAAGGGTACTTTTGATATTCTATAAATTATTATTGATGACATCAACTTTGACTGTGAACCATTCTAAGGTTTGTTAGGTGGAGAGGTGTGGTTGTTATAAATTTTAAATGTCTAGGGAGTTCTGTGTAATTTTTGAAATGTGAGAGAGTGTTCGTATAATAAAATCAAATGTCAATGAGAGTGGGTGTAATTTACCTTTTAGATTTTATTTATTGGCCTAATAAGTTCTAATTAATTTTGAAATTCATTGACAATTCAATGATTGTGATTCGTTAGGTTAACAAATTAAGCTAATAAATTAAGTATAAATAACTTTACTTTTTTGAGAGGACAAATTTCTAATACAACTTTTATGATTTTCCCAAACTTGTCATATACAAGATTGCAAAATTAAAATACATTTCAACTCCTGAGGTTGATTATATTTTTATCTCAAACTATAAGATATTTTCTTTTCTGAAGAGATTTGACTATGGTACCGACAAAAAAAAGTCGGTACCATACCTCGAAAATTTATTATCTTAACGTGTGTTTTTCTAACTTTTGTAAGTCAATTTACAACAAAAAAATTATTATTTTTGTGGGTGATTTATAACTTTTGTGGTTGTTCTTATCACTATTGTGGTTGTTTTTATCACATTTGTGGATTTTTATAACTTTTTTCCACAAAAAAAATTACTATTTTTGTGGGTGTTTTTATCACACTTGTGGATATATTTACCATTGTTATGATACCAATTTTTAACATTTTTTGTTACCACAATAATAATAAAAATACTCATAAATGTGATAAAAATAACTAAAAATATAATAAATAGGAGTGTGATACCTAAAAAAAATTAAGTGCCATAATCAACTCCTTTCAAAAGTATTTCTTGGAGGTTGTGCAAGCCTAATACACGTGCTAAGGATCTCTTTTACCTGTAGAGATGACAAAAAATAGGACATAGATGGATGCTCGAAAAACTACAAGCATCTAAGTAGAACTTTAGGCCATCTACCAAGGCCTCGAACTCGTAGAAAAGAAAAGGAATTAATAAAGTGGTAGTGGGTACTGATTCTTATGAAGGCTTTAGAATTCTCATGCACTATGTTTGAGCTATAGTCGCTAATTGCAAGGGGGTGTTTGTTTCGTGGGATATTAGAAAATTAGAGTGGGGATTAGTTGAAAATGTCTTTGGGTCCACATATTTTATTTGAGTCCAAAAAATGAAGTGCGATAAATGTTGAGTTTAAAAAAATTAGGTCGTAGGAAATTGACAATTTATCCCTTATAGAGTAGATATTTTAACCAATGGGGCATGAGGTATAAATTGCATCAGATTTTTAACAAACGTGATTTATATAGGTAATTTTACGATGAGTCTCTGTGCAGTAATTTTTAGGGTTTCATATACAAGACATAATAATAAATTATTATAAAACTAATGTCATGTTAGCATTCGTTAATTGTGGCAGATGCATGAGTCCCACACTTGATATATTGTTTACCCAATTAAAGACCGGATGGGATATAGAGATATTATCATTCTTTATTTTATTGCATTGGTTTAGGTAAAATTAGCTTCAAAATTTAATCCAACCAATTCCAATCCTGACTACCCAAACACGCCCTATGTGATCAATTTATATCCCTGTCATGCACACTCTCCATGAAAGAAACCAATGAACTAACCACATGGGTAACGTAGAAATTAATGTTATATTTTTGTATTATTTTCGTAAACAATAATTATAAATAATTTAAATCAAAATATGAAAAAAAAATTATTTTCAATACAACATAAAAAAAACTATTTTTGTAGTACCCTTAATTTCTGTAAACTAGCAAGATAGAATGTATTTTGCTTTGCCTCATTGATGAATTGTATACCTTGGATGTAGTTATGGTATTGTTGTTGGTATTGTATTAAAATTAATAATAGTCAAATAATTTTTAACAATTAATTGAGAAAATAAAGAAGTCTTAAGAAATAATAATATAGAATTTTCTTACACATCATAATTTTATTGAATGAAAAATGAACGTGCATGAGAAAAAGAAATGTTGTTTATATATAATTTAGTGACCGTATTTACTAACATGATAGATTATAGTCATTAAATTGATAGTGGAATCCATTGTCGATCTAATAAAATTGGCCCCTGAAGTATGTATTCCTTGTTTATTTGGTCCCTCACTTTATCAATTTTTGTTTCAACGGTCCAATTTTTTATGGCCGTCTAAATTTTTGACAGAACGGTTAATTTGTCTAACAGAGTCTTTGCATGTGCCATTCACGTGACCTTCCACAAGGGCATCTTCGGAATAAAAAATTCCGAGCATTCATGTGCAAAGCACACTAGGTTAAATAAGCCTTTCACAGATCTGGGCACTTTGATTTAATGCTCCGTTTGGTATAATAGAAAAGTGGAAGGATAAAAGGTTGAAAAGATAGAACGTTGGAAGAATAAATAAAATATAATGTTTGGTAAGGAAGGAAAGTAAGAAGGATAAAAAAATAGATAGATTAACTTTTTTTCCAACTCACCAAAATCAATCCCTCTAAAATCAGAAGGAAAGTGGATGAAAAGTTAATTATTTGTGTTAAAATGTATCTTATTTGTCTGTATATCTTATGTATATATTAATTTCATATAAAAATACAATGATAAAATATGTATATATTTTTTAAAAAATTAAAAAAAATAAATTTTTAAAAATATAAAAAAAATAAAAAATAAAAAATTTAAGTTAAAAAAATTATTTTTTCCAGTTTAATTAAAGATAAAAATTTTCGACTCAACACGATGACACAACTTGAACTCGATACGAAAATAAATAAGTCAACTCGCAACTCAATACGACACAATTAATTAAATGAGTTAAGTTAAATTTGACTAATATTCGACACAAACTCGTAATGACTCATAATGAATCTAACATAACACGACTCGATTCTATTGTCACCCCTAATTTTAACCAGCACAAAAAAAAATAATAATCATTTTTATTTTCCATCAATCCTTAAAAGATAGAAAACATATCCTCCTACTTTCCGTCCTCTTTATCAAACGGAGTATAATGCGTGAAAAGGCCTGCAAAACCGTCCTTACTATTAGCAAAACCCTCGTTCCCATTGTAGTGGAAGCGAAGGGGAAGAAGAATGAGTCATTACGTGTGAAAGAAGCAAAGTGATGGCACAAAGCCACAAACTATGCCCCAATATGGTCAGTATGCGTTTTTTGTTGATTACTACATAAGTGTTCCCTAATTCTGAATGGGAATCCACTTTTTGAATGTTCTGTTCCCCAAGAACTGAATAATCCAATTTTTGTGATCCCCAATGCATTTGGATTTTTTCTTTATTATTACTGTGTCTCTAATTTGTTATTATACTTGTGGTACCTCACATGAAAACAAATCATGTTTGAAAAATCAATTTTTAATTACATCTTTAATTTGTTAACTTTGGGTTGTGTATCATCACAGGTCCAGATTCTGTTTTTTTCTCAATAGAAATGCATCATGGGGTTGAATTTAGGGACCAACCTATGAAGGTGTATTTTGGGGGGAGTGTAGATTATATTGACGGGTGTGAGATTGACAGGATATCATTGTTAGAATTAGACGATATGGCTGAAAAACTTGGGTAGGCTTTTATGTTGGTGTTTACTATAGGGATTTAGATAAAGGGTTCGTTCATATAGCAAGTGATGATATTGTACTGTCAATAGTTAAAAAAAAACTGTCAATGAATAGGGTGGTTGAGGTGTATTGTGTGCACCCTGATGGTGCAAAACGTCGTGAGGAACCATGTTCTGCTAAGAATGAATCAGCAAGTGGAAACCATTACAAGGGGAAGGGGGTGTGCACAAATGATGCTGAGAATGTAAATCTGAAGACAGTCATTATACAGACTTCACTGATAGTTCAAATAATCAATCTGGTGATGAGTTGTATGAGACATATGTTGATGATGATGCTGAATGAGATGGTGTAAGGAAGAGTGGGGATAGGGTACATGTCAATGTTGATGGGGATTGTAATGTCTCTGATGATACAAATTCAGACAATGGGGACTCAGGTGAGTTAATGAGCTTGTTCAGTTCTTCTGATGAAGAAAATGCTAGACCAAAAATGCAGCCTTTTGAAGAATTCAGGCCTGAAATAGACATGAAAGATCCCCCATTTGGGTTGGGCATGTTTTTCTCCTCTATAGTTGAGTTGAAGAAACCTATTACAGAGTTTGCTATTAAACAACAAAGAAATGTGAAACTGGTTAAGAATGATGGTGTGAGAGTGAGGGCCAAATACAAGAAGTAGTGTGATTAAGCAATTCATGCTTCAAAAATACATAACCTGGAAACATGGCATATCAAAACATATAAGCATAGATGTGGAAGAACACATACCAATAGGCACATCAACTCAAGCATATTGGCAGAGAAGTATATGGAGGAAATCAGGGTTAACCCAGGGTGGCCTATTGTGACTTTCAAAGAAAGAGTTGAGAAAGATTTGAAGTTAGATGTCTTACTAAGGTAGTTGTGTAGAGCCAAGAGGAAGGCCATGTACCTCATACATGGTAGTGATGTTAAGTAATATGCCAAACTTTGGAATTACTGTGTAGAGATAAGGCAAACAAATCCAGGCTCAACTGGTGTATTGGTTGCACCTGTTGATGAGGAGACAGACCAACCTATTTTCCAGAGGCTCTATGTCTGCTTAGAGGCATGTAGAAGAAGTGTACTTGAAACTTGTAGATCTTTTATTGGGCTTGATGAATGCCATATCAAAACATCACAAAAGAGACAATTATTAGCTGTTGGTATTATGCAAACGAAGACATCTTTCCAGTTGATTACACTATTGTTGAAATTGAAGGGGTTGGTCAAGGGAAAACGATGCAACTATCTTGCCAAAGGTAGAGTGGTTGCTCAAGGGACTGTCGAAGGGTTTGCTGAAGTTGGTTTAACTGGAGGTAGGGAAAGGGGAATGCCAGAGGTAAAGGGGTTGCTCAAGGGACTGTTGAAGTGTCTACTGAAGGTGGTTTAATTGGAGATATGGGAAGGGGAAACGCCAGAGGAAGAGGGGTTGGTCCAAGAACTTTTGGATGGGTTGCTGAAAGTAGTGTAACAGGCAGAGGAAGTTCCCAATGCAATGTTACACAAGGCAGCACTACACAAGGCAGTAGAGTTAGTTCATAATCAATCAGAATGAGAGCATCACTTTTCATGGGAAGAGGACCGTTCAGTTCTAGTGTTAGACGTATACAGCAGTCAGGATGAAGTGGGAAGTGGGAAGTTATTCTTTTGTTCTTGTAAACACTGTTAGGAAGTTTTTTTTGTTCTTGTCACAACACAACTTTTGTGAAGTTGCCTTTTGTTCTTGTAAACATTGGTGCTATCTTTTTGTAATTGGAATCTAAATATGAATGTCAATGGTTATTGTTTTTGTAATGTGTATGTAATTACACAATTTGTGTTGAATGTGTTTCATTATTTGACAATGGGACCAAAAATCATATGCCAAAAATAGATTACCCAATTACAATAAAATACTCCAGTTACAACAAAATACTCAAGGGCCCTCATGAATTACAACTTAACAATACAAGCCTGCATCCACTTAATACTAATACAGACCCATTGCCATCCCAAAAATCACCAAATGCTAAAATCCAGATCATGGCAACTCCATCACTTTATTCTCATCCACATTATCACTCTTTCGCAAAGACCTCAGCAAACCAGGTACAGGGGGGGTCATACCAAACGAAGAATCCACATCCAGTGCTTCCATAGCTCAAGAATCTTCTTCCATGATTCGCATTGGTCCATGATGTCTTCATTCGAGTCGACTTCCCAGAGAAGCAGAATCGTGAAGCCACAGTAAATTCATCTTCACCCGTTCTCATTTGTCAATTCTTTGAACAAAATAGCAGCTTTCAACAACCTAATCGTAACCTAATCTCCCATTTACCAATTTTCCATTTCAGTCTTGGTTGATAATATATAGCCGCAACGACGTAGGCTGGTTTTCCCTCAAATCGAATGAAGGCTGACGCCATTTAGGATTTGAAAATTTTAATTCCGAATATGCCCTGTGGGAGGTCACATGAATGGCACATGCGAAGACTCTATTTGACAAATTAACTTATCTGTCAAAATTTAAACAGTCGTCAGAAATTGAACCATTTAAACAGAAATTTATAACGCGAACCTCAGATCAAATAAACAAGGAATGCATACTTGAAAGACGAAAAATATATATTTGGTCCTTAATTTTTTTTGTACTATAGATTAGTTTAGAGAAAATTTCAATCGCATATCTTCTAATTTATTATATCTTCAAAAATATTTCTTTTATTTTTTAAAATATTATTGACACCCCCTGTCAGATTTAAGGTGTTAATTAGAATGCAATTTTATTAAATTGTCCATGATATACGAGGAAAAACTTTTTTCACAACCTCTTTAGATAGACATATTTTCAATGAGAGTCCCCCTATTTTCTAAAACTTTTTTATGTATTAAAATTTGATTCGAATTAATTAAAATTTATTTTTTTTATGTATAAAATTTGAATCGACTAAAATTTTATTCGAACCGATTAAAAATCAACTCGAATCAAATTTTAATTAACTTGTATTAAATTTTAATCGGGCCAAATTTTGATACATAAAAAATATAAATTTTAATCAACTCAAATTTTAATATTTAAAAAATAAATTTTAATCAGTTTGAATCGAATTTTAATTGACACAAATTTTAATAAATAAAAAAATATAAATTTTAATCAACTCGAAGCGAATTTTAATTGGCGCCAACCGTTCAAGTAAAGTTCAAATTAACTTAAATTTTAATACATAATTAAATTTAATTAGTTCGAATTAAAATTTAATTGGCTCAAATTTTAATATGCAAAAAAATAAATTTTAATTAACTTGAATTTTAATATGTAAAAAAATAAATTACAATTGGTTCAAATTTAATCAAATTTTATGTAAAACTTTTTTTTTAGGGTTTATGTAGGGGTATTTTTATATTTTTAATGAATTTTTTTGTTAGAAATTCTGATTTAATGGTAATAGGTTTCGATGTTATTTAAATATAAAATAGAAAAAATGTCAGTAATATTTTTTATAATATAAATGATGTGTTTTAAAATATAATAAAATAGAAGAGATATGACCGAAAGTTTTTTTTTTAATTTACACAGATAAATTGACAGCATCATGTCAAGGTCAACCCACATGACCCTGACCCACCGACCACCACCGCCTTCCGTAGATTCCCATATCTATCTGGATTCTCTGTCTCCTTCCTGCCAATCTCCAATCAAACACACACACACACTCTCTCTTTTTCACTCCCTCTCACTCTGTGAAACCCCATCTAACGCCATATTTTCGGCAACGGTCACCAAATTTTAGGTGCCACGTTCCGTCTCAACTTTAATCCTCAATACACTTTTTTCTGTTCTTGATCAGTCATCAGTGAGTCACCCAGCTGTTACTTTCTTTTCGTCGTCCTACAACCGACGTATCTCCGCCGGCGTCAGCCTCACCGCCACCCTGGACGGTGTTTCATGCGAGGAAAGGAAAAACCAACATGGAGACTTCAAACGGTTACCTCAACAGCGGTCACCAATACCCTTCTTTTTCTTCCTCCCGGAGAGATGTCACTTACAGGTATTCTCTATCTCTCTCTAAAAAAAAAAACTTTTGGTTGATTACATCAATGTGTTAATCTTGTATTTATCTGGTCATGCCCTGGATTTATACTTCTATGTACGTCGGTATTTTAGATATTGTTTTAGTTTTGCAGTTGAATTATAGTGGGAACACCGAAGAAGAAACTGATTTTGATCACTCCATTGCGATTTGATAACACTGATAATCATCTTGTATTTTTAAATTTGAGTAGATTGCGTTTGTTCTTTTTCCATTTGATTAGCCCGAGCTGGGTCTGTCCGACCCTTGAAGCATGAATTAGTCCATTTTGGTTATCATCTAATCAACAAGAATTTGATTTTCAAATTTTTTTGTGGGATTTGACAAACCAATTACGGAAATTTACATTCTCCATCGAAGTAGTGGTGCACAGAAATTTAAAATGTTTAGATGACACTAGTTTATGGTGTGATATATCATATATGTATACCGGTCATAACTCATGTCCGAAGACACGATAATTCGAGTGCCTAAAAAATCGATTCTACTGTATTAAATTTTTTCAACATTTGTATATTATCCTATATGAATAATGTTTGAAATAAAAATTATTTTAATTACAAATTAATCAAATATTAAATGATTAAACATATGATAGAAATGAGTGATTTGATCTTTTTAGGGGAGAAATATATAAATGATTAAACATGTGATGAAAATGAGTGATGTAATGTTTTTAGGTGGGAAAATATATAAGGGATAAAAATTCAAGTTGCTATGTGTTTTATTATATAGATGAATACCGCATACATATATATGTACTAGCATCAGACCTTGTGCGAGGGTTATCCCCTTCTCTTCCCAATCCCTTTGTTCACACTTTACTATTTTCCACTAATTATTTTACAAGGTAGCAAAAATATTGTAGGAATTATTGGATTGCAAATTTAATGTTTTAAAAAAAAAATTTAAGTGGTGGTTAAAGGGAGTTTATGAGTAATTATTTAGAATAGTTATTTGTGGCATTTGGTAGAATATGATTGGAGGATGAAGAGTTTAATAATTCAAAACTCTTCAAAATTAGAATAGTGAGAGGGAAGGTTTCTCAGGAAGAGTAATACTATTTGGACCTAAAAATTTGACCTAATTTGCTAACATAATGATGTGGCTTAATAGGAATCATTGGATCAACACCAAGTTTCAATATTTGATGGGCCCTAAAGCCAATCCAAAAGTCACAGTTAATTAGGTTAGCAAATTAAGTCAGATTTTTAGGTCTCAATAGCATTGCTCTTCTCAGAAATTGATTCTTTTAGATATATACTAGTAGATACTCTGTGTGATCCACGAAATTTATTATATCTTTCTATCATCACCTTACGACCAAACCCTCCATAACCATAATATTATTGGACCATTCTTATTTCATTTATATTTTAAATAATTAAGAAAGACGATTGAAAGATTAAATTTTGAAGTGGTTTAAGAAAAATTGTGGGAGTAGTTACAAAGGACACATGTAATGTTTTGATTGGTGTGATCTAATTAAACATTTCAAAATTCTAATAATTTAGCATTTAGGAGGAAAGCCTTCTCAAGGCCTCTCATCCTTAATTTGATTGTTTTATATATATAGATAGATAGATATAGTATAGATGTGTGTGTGCATTTTTAATTTTTTTTTGGGGCCTGTAATTTCAACAATAACAAAACAGATAGCTGTAAACAGAGAAGAATTGACCATACTGAGATGTATCTTTAAGACACTAAAGAACTGGAAGCACCTTGCGAGTCCCACTACAGAGCGTCACAAACCAAAGGGGAAGGTCTCTCAGTTCAAGAATCACACAAAGCTAGGGGAGAAGGCTAATTTTCTTTGTGGTTATGTATTTTATATTTAGCTAGCTTGCACCAAAATACACATTACCTAAAGGTCAATTTGCATTTCTCCTAAAATTTGGATGGTATCATACAATCCTATTTCACTGAAGCAGAATACCTCACATTTCACAAAAATAGGCCAGTAATGAAACTCATGTTTCCCAATGTATCATGGCAGGTGAGCATTTTTAGCCAGTATACAATTTAAAATTTTAAGCCTAATCCTTTAGATAGCTGCCATGTGCTCCATTCAAGTTATCTATAAATTATAAAGAATAGGTGCTGAAGAGTCTTCTAGGCTTAAAAAACTGTCAAAGGAACGAAGGAATAAGCTGAATACAAAAAAACAAGGAAGGTGAGATAGCCATAGGATGCACACCTAGGGATTACTAGGAAACACACCTGGTAAAGAAGGCAATACTTTTCAAGATCTTATCCCCACCTGTTAGCTGGTGGGTTACAATTTAAGTAGTTGCTATATAAGATAAGTAATGATTGGCATCTAGTTGGTGGAATAGTGGCAGGCATCTATATGTTGGTCAAATACTCAAGCTACCATTTACAAATAATGGTAGGAACTAGTTGGCGATGGAAATAATTAAGCAATCTTGACAAGCAATAGGTTGCGTCAAAAATAATCATGCTCCAAGTAATGCTTGGAACCATTCGGTAATGAGTTGTAAGGGAAAGCAACTACTTTGCCTAGTAAAGCAGCTAGCTTTGACAAGTATGCCTTAGTTGGAACTTGGAAATTAGCTGTTGGAAACTTCTAGGTAACGTAACAGGCCTAATGTTATGCTAATTGAGCATGCTCATTAAATGAAGTTTCGTTTAGTCATGTTCCTAAAATAGGCTTACTTGAGTCTCATGCCGTGTGTGTAAGTGCTAATTTTTTCTCTCTTGGAAACTTTTATATGTTGTGAAGCATCTCTTTCATGGTAGATCTTATACTTGTTAGGTGTCTCCATATTAGAGCCCAACAATGGATCTGGGGGGAGTGGAGGGGGATCTTAATTCCTCAGTATAATATACAAGTTACTAAGTGACCTTATAAGTTATAAGGAGTTCGTCCCTGAACTTCTATCTATGTTCCTAAATTGCAACTAAAGGTCTCTCTAGAGGGTGTTACTTCTTCCCTCCCCCCAAAATTCAATCCTTGTCTATGACATCTATCCCTAGGGGCACTTATGGAAACCTTGTTCTTTTGGATTTAAGTGGACTATGGGCCCCGAACCCCAAATTATCTCTTTATTTTTCGAAAATATCTACTTATGTACTTGTCGAAAGGTTTGGCCTCTCCCCCTTAATTTCTGGATCCATCATTTCTTTATTCACAACCTCTGTGCAATGGAAATGCTACCATTATGTTGGGGTTGGCCTATGGTTCTTTTTGTGGCTAATGTATAGTGAGAATAGTGTCAAAATAAATAGGGCAAATTGCATTTTGCAACTTCAAAGATTCAAGAATTCTCATTTTGTACTCTCAAAAATTAGATTTTTACATTGCGCCCTCAATGATTAGATTTTTCACATTGTACCTTCAATGTATTAGAAGTGTTCCATACGTTGTGTTGCTTATTCCATCAAAACCCACCCCATTAAAGTTGACGGAATGATTAACGGAAACTAACGGAAGGGACAAATTGTAACCCTTTTTAATACATTGAGGATATAATATTAGAAATCTAATCTTTGAGGATGCAAAGTGAGAATTCTTGAATCTGAGGGGTACAAAGTGCAATTCGTCCTATTTATTGAGAGGGTAATGTGAGAAATCTCTTCTTTGAATGTGCAAAGTGGAAAAGCTTAACTCTTTCATGGTGCAAAGTGAGATTCCCCCAATAAATAAGCCATAGTATCATTTAGCTTAGGGAACATGTGAAAATTATTTTTTGGGGTGTGACACACAATCTTAATGGCAATGATCAAAATTGGTCAGGCACAATCTTTCCATGTCATGAGCCCTTCTTGCATTCTACTCATCCCCCTTGGGCTATGATTTATTGGTCCCATGGAGATGTGTAGACACATGAAAGTTGACTGGGTTTTTTTCTTGAATAAGAAACAAAAGGTCAGTACATCAAACAAAGGTGGTGCACTTCTTTATATGATTCGGCTCAAAAAAAGCCTACATCCACGAACGCAGTAGCATGATTTCACTATCAAAGATGAAGATTACACAATGTTCTTGAAAACTAAAGACAAGATAACATATATCCACTATATCACACTTTTACAATATTAATAATGCCCGAAAAACTTCTTTCGAAGACTATTAGTTTTCCCCGAAGAAGACCCAAAACAATAGAGCAAGACTCAATATTCTACAAGGGTGATATAGCTAACATCAATGGCAAAGCACCAAGGCACTACCTCCTTTTCAACTTCTAGCTTCTGGACCTTTTAAACCTTGGCAATAGATCACCAAAGTCATAGTCCATGTTGAACAAATTAGCCTTGTTCTATTAATGTCAAACAAAGACAATAATACATGAAAAAAAAGCCTTCACCAAGTTCATCACGTGTTGGACTCAATCAATTAGTGTTAAACTAGTCTTGCAAAGCAGATATGAAGGCAACGTGTCCAACAAATTCTTGAACTACTATTAAGATAATTTTGAACACAAAGACTTATGCCAACAAAATTATCCTCAACAAGTTGCTCACAAAAGTCTTCAAATCAAATCCGAATAATTTAGGTCGAATTAGTTGTTAATCATAGCGACATATAAGACACCAACAACAAATCTTCACCTTAACTTGTATTTCATCAAGCCATCAAAACAAAAAATGAACTTGACCAACTACTTTCTCCACAAATGCCGAAGGATATAACTCAAACACTGCAACACACCAAAGAAGTTCAAGCAATTGCTTGAACTTGAGCATTGGAACTAGCTAAGCAAACAAATCTACTAGATTTTTTGTTGTAGCAAACCTTTTTCAATACAACCATAACTTGGGTCATAAATTCATGAAGGAAATGATATCTAATATCGATGTATTTGGTCATTTTATAATACATTTGATTTTTAGTCCAACGTATAGCACTTTGAAATGAATAGAATTATAACAAAGAAGTGGAGCTATAATCGAAAGTTTCACAAGCACCACTCCAATTTAGCCCATTATTGATT